TATCTATCTATCTATCTATCTATCTATCTATCTATCTATCTATCTATCTAATATGTAACATAATTAAATAGACTGATGACAGAAAAGAGGAAAATAAAAAGTCTGCTTTGGTGATGTCATCTTTAGCTCCTGTGTGATGGCCTGAAAGAAAATGATGATTTCAGAAGAATGAGCTTTTATAATCCAGAAAAGTAGCACAAACGAAGCACTAAAGAATGAGACCGCTGTGGTTTGACCTAAAAAAATGAACCCAAACTAAAATAAATCCAAGCTAAAATAAATCCAAGCTAACCTGTTTTGTGCCAGCAGGGGGCGGAAGTGAGGCCTAATCATCTATCTGATGGAGTTCAGGTGTGCCAGGGGCCTCAGGTAAACGGGATTGGTCGTTTCCGGGTCTTTACAGGCTTAAAAGCGACAGGATCAGAGGGATAGCTGCACGGGAGAACTGGCAGGTTACATCCATCACCACGGACAGGTGAGTGCCTCCGTTACGTCACAGACAGGTAAGAGAACTCTGCTTTACGGCCAGTCGTACCCGGAAGTAATTCAGCTTTGATTTGTTATTGATTTATTTCGTCAAAAATGTAAAATACATGAAAGTAGTAATCAAGACTAACAATAAACATTTTTTTAAAAGGGGTGATGTATACTAAACAAAGTAATATCCAAGATAAAATGCAGAAATGTCCGAAAAAGTTAAATATATTAATAATCTAAATACACAAGTATCTATGTATTTAACAACCTAGAGATGCGTATATATCCAAGAATTATTATGGAAAGCAAATGATAAGAGAAAAATAAAGTAGGAAGGGCATAAATCTAAAAGTTTGAGGTGTTTGTGTCCGGACAAAAAAACAAACGTCACTTGGACCCGGAAGCGTTTGTAAAGCCGAATATAAACGTACTAACCGAGCTGTCATTTTGTAACTTCATTAAAACGGTAAATATTTGTATTTTCGTTCTCGGGCTTTACCGAACCTGTCCCTTTATTCCGCCTGAATCCGCTAAACGGACATTTCTACGTCGCTAAATCCCAGACGGCGCAGGAGAATGACGTCATCGAGCGCTGTCATTCCGGGTCACGTGTTCGGGCTGACCGGAAGACGTCGCATGAGAATTTTATTTATTTGATC